GAAGCCGTTTTAAATGCTTGCAATGGTTAGCCCACCTCCTGAAACCTATGCAAACTGATTTTGGTGTTGTTCTGACACTTCGTTAATTTATGGTAAATTTTTGTTTTCTCCATTGAAAACCATTGAATGGTCTGTCTAATGGTTTCCAATGGAGAAAACAAAAAATCATCATAAATTAACGAAGTGTCAGAACAACACCAAAATCAGTTTGCATAGGGTTCAGGAGGTGGGCTAACCAGTGCAAGCATTTAAAACAGCTTCCAAACATTGTAAGACACTTTTACAGGAGCGAAAAGGGAGATCGGGAAGAGCTTTAAAAGGCAAACGGAGATCAAAGAGCCCTTTCCCGATCTCCCTTTTCGCTCCCAATTGGAACAGATTAACCGGTTTTCAATGCATTCCTATGGGAAATGGTGTTTCACAGAACGATGTTTCACACAACGTTGATTTTTTTGGAACCAATTAACATCGTTGTGTGAGGCACCACTGTACTTGGGTCTATCACAAAACACAAGGATAGTTGTGTTTTGTGCTTTCCAGAAAGTAGCTGCACTAATAATAAAATCTTTTGCAAAGTACTGACTTTTGCATCTAAATCGACTTCAATCCAGATTCAGGCCAAACTACAGTACAGTATATGTCTCTAGTACAAATGTACAGCTGCAATAGGGACTCAGACCACCAGGCACAAATAGGATTATACTTTCCCTGCTTGCTCTTCCTACCATTTCTACTCCTCCATGCTGTGTTTTTCTTTAAAAACGGGTGGTGGTGGGCTCCATAGATGCCAAAAGAGAATATTTTTCAAGAGGACAAGGAAGAAATTCTTTCTTACTTTCTTATGTCTGCTTTTGCCTCTTTCAGAGATATCCCCAGCCAAGAGGTCAGAAGAAGAAGAAGGTTGTAAAGTATGGAATGGGTGGCATGATTATTGTCTTGCTGATCTGTATCGTATGGTTCCCACTGCTTTTCATGTCTCTGATTAAATCTGTTGCAGGCGTCACAAACAAGCCACTTGATGTATCAATCACAATTACATTAGGAGGCTATCAGGTAAAAGGAAACCCAACTAACCTGTCACATTGTCCTTTTTATCTTTCTTTTGTGCGCTATTTTTCCTTAGCTTAAAGAGGACCTTGACAATAATGTTTTTCTTCTAAAAACAGAATGTACTGAAATGAATACTTCAGCATTGGGGTTTCTTTGTTTGTTTTCCAGCCTATATTTACAATGAGTGCTCAGCAGAGTCAACTAAAAAATATGACAGAAGAAGCATTCGAGAAATTACGTAAAAAATATAATGATGAAAATAATATTGTAAGTAATTTTTAAAGTGCTCCTGAATAGCCAATTTTGCTTCAGAAACTCAGGATGTATCAGGGCTTGCCCTTAGCTGAATGACTAATTTAAAGATAGAAATATGAAAATCCAATGTCATTCCATATCACTAACATATTTTCAGCAGTATATTAGAGACACATTCATGGGACATCCTTAGGGATATTACACACAGTCCAAACGCCAAAAGGAAGAAATTAAGGTACACTTTAAGCACAAAACATTTGGAAACAGTGTGAGGACAGTAATATAATGCAAGATTTCATAATTGCTGTTGCTGAAATGGCAATCTTCAAGAGAATTTCCTGAAATTTGCTCATTTTACCCCTCATAAGATGGATTTGCCATGCCCAGTTGCCACCTGACAGGACAGTTTGTCTTAAGCCTTATGAAGAACAGAATTTCCACACTTAATAATAACAGAAGGTATTTTCTTTAACCTGAGGCTTGCTTCCATGGCTCTGGGTCTCTGTTGTGATATAAGAAGGGCTAAGTGTTTGAGTGCTGCAACCAATAATTTCTCTAGCAAAAATATCTCCACTGGTGTTTGTCTTCTCTCTGTGAAAAGTCCTGCTTCTCTTATCTTTTCCAACCTGTCTCTTCCTACATTTATTTGATTTATACCCCGCATATCTGGCCCACCGGGCCACTCTAGGTGTTTGCCTTCTGTATGTGAAAAATCCTGCTTCTCCTCTTCCCCTAAAGTCCATTTCCCATCCTATACATCTTGTTATCTTTTCCAACCTGTCTCTTCCTACCCTTTGGAGTGGAGAGGGATATATGTGTGTGACTGAGAAATAAAATCTTGGCAGTAAGGACTCCAGCTTGAAGGTAATAGCATACATGTTTCACCTTTCTCTCTGTTTTTTTAATGTTTTTAAAGGGTGCTTTACAGTTTCTAGAGAACTATGGTAGTGAAGATGTGACAGTGGCACAGCTGGAAGGCAGTTCAAATTCCTTATGGACTATCAGCCCTCCTAGCAGAAAAAATATGATTAAGGAGCTTGAGGCAAATAATCCTGAGTTTTCTTTGGTTATTTCATGGAGTATCCAAAGGTATGGCTTCAGTGCTAGCATACATTTGTCTAGTGAGAGTATTCTTAGCTGCTGTGTTTCTCCCATTCTTGAACCTATTTGACATACTGTTTAGAACTGATTGCCTGCCTCTGTGTTTTCAGTTTATGAATTAACATGTCTGTTTTCTGGCGGTTTCAACTGCAAGAGCTTTTAAATGTTACATTTTCTATTACACTTTCTGGAATCCCCAGCTAGCATGGCCATGTTGGCCAGAAAAATATTTCCCTGATATAGAAGTAAGTAACAATATTTACGTACAGTAAATTAAATATCTGCTCCAGAGTGTTGCACCCCTTCAACATACCATGGGCGTGGCAGGTTCTTAAAGTAAGCCAAAGCAAACTATTGACACTGATTCTTGCCTGTGACTCAGACTGCTGATTTCTATATAGGGTGAGGGTGGTGATAGCCATTAAATCTGAAGAAGGGGCTGCCCAATGCGGCCAGCTGTTAATATAAAGCTTTTAAATGTGAATTATTTATTCAGTGTCTAGGGGCCACAGCGATAAATTTTAGGGGTCGCCTAAAATCTGTCTTCCAGCATGGACAGAATACATGAGGAGAGGCAACATATTAGTCCCATCTCTATGCTGATATTTCTGTTGCCATCTAGACATGGAAGGTGACTTCCTGAAGGAGAGAGCACTTTTCCTCAGTGAATCTTCATGCAATGTGGAACATTTATTTTTTCCCCCTATTATTCTGTATCCTGGACAGCCTCCATGGATACAGGGCAGCTTGTTCTTCATAAAGTCACTCTTCACAGTGACAGAAGCAATGATGGAGGGGTTAGAATTGACACACATCCCATCCTCATGTGTTTAGACTACTTGGATTTAGAATCCTTGAAGAGGGCAAAAAGGCTTTGTGTTGGTTACATTCTCTGGACAGCTGCCTTCACCGATGGAGATATGACAATGTGGTGAGATCTAAAGCAAGCACATGCAACTGACTTTACAAAAGGACTGCCAGATTGTCCTTTTTTAGGCAAAGGGGCTGATTCTGTTCCCTAGAGGGCATCTACTCAGCACAGTTATAGTAGACGGATACTATTTTAATTGCCATATGAAGTGCTTTTAAAAGAAATGTGCTCACCTGAGCTACTGCTGAGTATCTCATAAAACTGGAATCCAAGGCTTCCATAGGATGGAGCCAAGCCATTAAATTAGCATCAATTTGATCTCTGCATAATGCAGATATGCTGTTTGTTCAGGGATAATTATCTAAGGTTCAATGATCTGAGACCCAGCTGTAAGTCTTTTGCTAACCCATGAGTTACACACACACACACACACAATTTTCTAGGTGCTACAGGAAGCTGTTAGCATTGATTTGTAAACAGCTGGTTTTCCTCAAAGTAAAGAACTCAGAGGTAAGAATTACAATAGCAGAAAGCAGATCCCATGTATGAAGGGGTTTTTTTTAAGCTTTTGTCATACAAGCCACTGTTTGCACCATTGTAATTAAAAAAGATTCATCAGCTAGAGATTCCCAAGATTGAGGTATAATCATGCAGAGTCTATTGTCGAGTGAGAATAGCATTTTGAATCCAGCAGAGTGGGACAAATTGTGCAATACCTTTTGGTAATATGTTGATAGTATTGAATAGCCTGACTCCTATTCTTGGCTTTTTATTAAAGAAACCTCTCCCTTGGAGCAAAAGCAGAAATAGCATCAGATAAAGTATCTCTCAACCTGCCAATTGAAACAAGAAAAAAAATTGCCAAAATGATGAAAAATTCAAGTGAATCCTCTGTGTAAGTTGTCTTCTATATTTACTAATACTACATTAGTCTTTTTTTCTCTTTCTCTCTTACAAAATAAAAAATTACTTATTTGGGGAAATTAGATAAGAGTATTAACAATTCCTGTCAAGATTTTTTAATACCAGCGCTCTGTCTCCCTCCCTCTCCCTCTCTCTCTGTCTCTCAGCAAATGCAGAACTAGCTCTTCCTTTATTTCCATAGATTAATTCTGCTGGTTTTATTTATTTATTTATTTCATTTATTTATTTCATTTATACCCCGCCTATCTAGTCAGTTGTGACCACTCTAGGCGGCTTACAACACACACTAAAAAATTAAACAAATAACATATCACAAACATAATTTTCATAATTAAAAGATAGAATAATTTTTTCCCCAAAGATTGCAAGAAACAGGGTATATTATAGCAGAAAGAAAAAAAGAATAATTAAGAATTAGGTGGAAAGGGGGAAGGGGGAAGGGGGGAAGGCCTGCCTGAACATCCATGTTTTCAGTTGTTTCTTGAAAATACCCAGCAAGGGAGCTGCGCGAATGTCAGGAGGTAAGTTGTTCCAGAGGGGAGGAGCCACCGCCGAGAAGGCCCAGTTTCTGGTCTTTTCCTTCCGGGCCTCCCTCGGCGTCAGGCTCCTCAGCCTCACCTCCTGACTCGCACGAGTGACATGGGTAGAACTGGGTGGGAGTAAGCGTTCCGCCAAGTATCGAGGCCCTAAACCGTTTAGGGCTTTAAATGTAAGCATCAGAACTTTGAAGTCAACGCGGAACCAAATGGGCAGCCAATGCAGCACGGCCAGAATAGGAGAAATGTGATGGTATCTTCGCGCTCTACTTAGGAGTCTGGCCGCCGCATTCTGCACCACTTGGAGTTTCCGCATCAGCCTCAAAGGTAGCCCCACGTAGAGCGCGTTACAGTGGTCTAATCTTGAGATTACGAGCGCATGGACCAAGGTGGTGAGCGCCGCCAGATCGAGATAGGGTCGCAGCCGGGCTATCCGCCAGAGATGAAAAAAGGTGGTGCGGACCATATTGGTATAAAAACAGCAAGAAAAACTAGAGTCTCAATTATGATTCTATCATTGGATGTTATTCGTGCAGTTCTAAGTTTCAAGTGGTGGGAATGTTTTGTGATGTGACTAGGGATGTAATTGCTATGGGCCTCTTTGTCCATTTACACCCAGTCATCCTTATTCTTAGTGTTCTCATTCCTAGTCATTTCTACTTCCGGTGCCTATTGTATTTGAGCTCCTTCTTTCCTTGAACTCTGTACTTCTGAAGTAATGCATCAGGAGAACAGAGCAGGTGAAGAGACATTATTCCTACATAATAACAGATGTTATTATGGTTATGCTCACCATAAATATGATCAGTGGTATATCCATCTTCCTCGTTCGTTCATAACCTCTCTTACCTCCCTGCCACCATTCCTTCAATAAATTAGAGCTGTACTCTCCTGGTGGTGTGGGAACTCAGCATTTTGATCACATGCTGGTGTTACAGAGGATGAGGGGAGCTAGGTTGTTGCTATGTTATCATATGCACCTGACTATTCTGCTGACCACTCATGCTCAAATAGAAAAAGCTTTCCTTCCTTGAAGGGGGCAAGGGATGGATGATAGAGCCACAACATCAGTTGTGACTCTGAACTTGGTTCTGTTGCTACTGCATAAGGCTGTGTTGCCATTATGTTACAGTGGTGCTATGTCACAGTGCTGACACAGTGCCCTCCTGCCACTGACAACAGAACACTCCTTTCAAGTCAGTCTTGGTCAGACACAAGCCAGTAACTATGTGCCCCTAAGCCAGGCACAATATAGAAAAGCCTCCTCAATGCCATTCCATAGGCAGACCACTCCACAGGTCAGTAATCTAGTCCATAGGCCACATATCTGTAAGCCATTCAATACGGCTTTTGTCCATTGTATATAAACCCTAAAAACAGGTCCTGATTATCAGCATGTACAGGAATATCCATACATTGCCTGGTGTTTATAGGTAGTTGTGCCACATCATGCCAAAAGAGAGAGACAGAGGATTGGACACAGCAGGGAAACAAGTGATTTGAAAGCCAAATACAATAGTTGTCACCTCAAAAAAAGTGAGTAAAAGGAAAAAGAGGAAGGCTAATGTTTGGATGTCCCCCACTGTACGTATTAGCAGTGTCAACTGGCTATCAGGCAAATATTTATAGCTGTGCCTGACTGTGTTATTACTCCACTTCTTACTTCACTGCCACCCTATAGAGTTCTAAATGTGAAAATATCACCTGTGTTTTTGGTGTTGTGCTTCAAACATTGATTTCATCCATCCATTGTACTGTAGCATTCAGCTCATACAGGAACACATCCACAATGATTATGTGTACATGGACACTTTTTTTTGCATACTCTTTTTTCTTCTTACATCTGAAAAATGTTTTAGAATAGGATGAATAATTAAATATTTGTTTTCAGGAAGGAGCATGTGCTAAGGAGCATGGTTAAGGGGAAAGGGTGGGGGGAGCAGAAATGCCACTAAACTCTCCATGTATTGGTGGGTGGAAAATTATGTAAAAGTGAAACAGTGCTGAGGCCTAGAAATTATGATTGCTACCTTTTTAGATACAATACTGTAATTGTATCTGGATCAAAGTGTAAATGAACACTGATTACTATATCCTTTTCTTTTCTTTTGTAGGGTACTAAAAGAAGTATACCCCCATTTTGTCAAGGCACCTAGTGATTCTGTTGCAAAACCCCTGAAGCAGCTGTTAACAGGTATGCATTTTTAAAAGTAAGCTGTTTGCAATTTCCAACTGGGAAATATTTTTACATGTCCTTTGATTTTGTCACTTGGTGATCTAGTGTTTTATTTGGCAGTGGGTGGCCTTTCCCAGCTCTCTGATTCTTGACAAATTAAAGCAATGTCTCTCTTATTATATAATAGATTAAGTTGTTCCGATAAGTTATAGTCAAAGAAGAAGTATTAGCATGTTTCCTTTCTAGGACCGGTATCCTTGTACTGGCCCAGACTATTAGCTGCTCCACTATTAGGCTATGTTGTCTAAGACTATAATGAAAGTTTTCTATGATATGTTTCCTAATGAAGAGATTTGGAGACCTCAGAAGCTTGCACATACTTTTCTGCCCTTTTGCTTGTTTTAAAATGGCTGTTATATTTTCTGGAGGCGTTCTAATAGGTAATATCACCACTTTTGCTTTAATATTAATATACTGACCACATGGTTTCTTCCAATTTTCCTTCTCCTTTTTCCCTTGGTAGATGGGAAAGAAAAGAACATCACTGTTTCATTGTCCAGTAGTACTCATGTGGCAAATCAATCTGAACGGCGTGAGTGGTGGGTTCTAAACCAGACTAACAAGTTTATGGAACCAAATGGCACAAGACTGGAACTTATTGTGTTCAGTGACAAAGTTAGCCCTCCTAGCCTTGGATTCTTGGCAGGTTATGGGTATGTATGTAAGCCTCTTTTATTTACATTGGTGAGCTATGGTGCAAATGTTACTGAAACGAAATGTGACTGTTTCCAGTCTACACCCTATTATTGGGTAGAATGAGGTGGCTACCTCCAGCAGCAGACTTGTGGTATTATAAAAGGGCAGTAAATAATTAGTCACTTAATTTTGTATTATTATTGTACTTTTACTGCTAAGAGGTTTTTGTAAGATTGTCTACATAACATACCAGAATAACTTTGAATACTGCAGCAAAGAGGCTGGTCCTGTTCATTGTTTTCTAGAATGGGACTATTTCTATTTTTGAGATTGAAAGACTGCAGAAAAATGCTACCAAAAGTAGACCCTCTGACCCAAAACCTGAGGCCTCTGGGAAAGAGATTCCTTTACTACTCCGGATGACTTGGTTTAGATTTCCAGAGATACTGTGGAGGTCAGAGAGAGCCCAATTAAGTTCTGCAGTCAATGCCCAAGAACATGCACTGCATCCCAGGGAATCTGGTATAATGGTGGTTGTATTTTGCTGCACTGTACATAATGTGTGCAATGGCATTTATAATCTCGTTAGAATGTGAAGCAGGTTCCTCTCTGCAATCTGTACTTCCTTTGGTAGGTTCACCTGGTCAGACTAACTAGTCTAGTTGGAAGGGTTCAGTAACACTGAGGCATCTCTGTAAATTATCGCCAAAACCCTTTTTGAGGCCCATTTTACAACATACAGTGCTCAGATAAATTGCAAAGCTCATTTCATTTTTGAAATCCCAGTTTTCAACAATTTTAACAACCATCATTCTTCATTCTTGCTCTTCTTCTCCTGCACCACTGATTTTAGATCACTTGTTCACACATCAGTATCAAACGTATGACCCAACAGAGAAACCGTTAACATAGTCAGAAATTATTCATGCATAGGTACCTGAGCCAATGGACTGGTTTGAACTTCCCAAGGAGAGGAAGTATGGCCTGTCATTTATTTCCAACTGTTAACTATGGTTAAGCAAGCCAAATACTGATGTCTAAAGTAGACCATAAGATGTACTGTATTTTTTGCACCATAAGACTCACTTTTTTCCCACAAAACAGGGGGGTGGAAATTCTGTGCATCTTATGGAGCGAATAAAACAGATTATATTTTCCTGTTTTCTTCTCCTAAAACATCGGTGCGTCTTATGGAAAGGTGCGTCTTATAGAGCGAAAAATACGGTAATTAGATGGGCATTTAGTAGGCTGTAGGGATGGATTGGTTTGTTCCTTTCTCCAGCAATCACATGACATACTCACTGGAGCAAACCAAATTAATTCACAGGGTGTTTCTACTCACATCTCTCTGAGCCCCTGTAAGGGGCCTCCACTTTTTGGTGTGGGCAGGATCGCTCTGGTTTGGTCAGTTTCCAACATGTGTGATTGGTGGTAATAGACCAAAAGCAAGGTTTCTTGCTGTCAAGCCTCCTTCCAGTTGGAATTTCTAATATCATGAAGTGGCTTTAAAAAATGAGCCACTTTAGGATATCAGCAAATATCACTTCCTCTGTTCCACTGAAGCCAAACCAAATTGGCTTGCTTGCTCCATTATGCTATTTGGATGTGAGGATTGCACCAAATAGGATATTGCACCTCCACCCCACCCCGTGACCTATTTAGCCTGCACCAGACTGCTCCAAAAGAGCCTGTCTGATTGCACCCTTAATCTGCATTATAATTCTTACTTAAAATTTTGTACAGAGATCAAGACCTTGTAGCATGTTTTGCCAGTAGTTTCTTCCTGATCAAAGCTATTCCTAATCTTAGCATGCTGAATTAGTGTTCGATAAGACCATGTTAAATCTTCCATGACATGGAGAGAGTACCACAATCCTCGATCTTAATGGGCAAATGTAAGCTTTTGGCAGAATCCTCTTCTCTGCACCTCTGTGGAAACCTAAGCATGTATAGCTGCAGTTGCACATTTTTTCTGCTATTATTCCTGCCTCTGACTTTCCTCCAGTATCCCTAGACATCTGGTTTCTACTGTGGTAAATTCTTTAAGGGTATATTTTTAAACCCATCTTTTTGTTATGCAGTGAGGGTTTTAAAAAAAAAGGTTTATCTCATTTATTATCAATTTCAAATTTTTGATTTCTTCTTGGTATTCATGCTTCTTTATTTTGTGCCTGTATTTATTCATACTGTATATTTCTAAACAATAGTGCCTTCTCTTTCTTCTTTTTCAGCATAATGGGATTATATGCTTCAGTTGTATTAGTAATAGGAAAATTTGTCCGTGAATTCTTCAGTGGGATCTCCCATTCCATAATGTTTGAAGAGCTTCCCAATGTGGATCGTATCCTGAAATTATGTACTGATATCTTCTTAGTGAGAGAGACTGGTGAATTGGAACTGGAGGAAGACCTGTACGCCAAATTAATATTCCTGTATCGCTCCCCAGAGACTATGATCAAGTGGACTAGAGAAAAAACTAATTGATCTCTTTGGAATTTTCACTGTTAATCAAGATGACTTGATCAGTTTGTTTTTAAAGCACAACATTCTTCTGAAAGTGAAGCCTTTTATAATTAGTTTGCATTTTTTTTGTTCATGGAGTCTACTTGACTACTTAGAAATCTATGCTGCCTCTCGAATCAAAGATGTTGAAAACACCTTGATTTCCACAGTCAGTTCAGAAAAATCAGAATATTCTGCTTTTACTTTCATGAACAAAATCTTTTGCATCCATGTCTAAGTTAAGACTTGGGCTTTTATTCATATTCTCAAAGGAAAAAGAAGGATATCACAGGTGAAATAACCGGACCCTCATTTTTTGGGGAAGGGATAATTTGTCTTGGATTGTGCAATATGCTGCTTTACGTCACTGACTTTCAAGGGACACCAGTAGCTGAAGTTGCCCTTCTACCAAATCCCTTGCAATTGGGAACACGGTGGATATTGAATGCAGCTCTATTATGTGCGTTTTCAGAAATTCAGATCTGTTGAAGATTCTGCAGATGTGCTTCTGGAAGATGAATAATCGGTGAACATTATCATTAACTGCCTTATTTTATTTGAACAGTTACAGGAGACATTGAAAAACATCAATGACTTTACTCAGGAAAATCAAAACTGTCCAAGTTCAACTAATGGATAATGACTATGGTGAAATAATGTGATATTTTTCTGGGCCATTTTCACCAAATAACTGCTCCTAACTAGATGGGTATTTTAAAATAAAAGAAGACAGTTGAACTTTATGAGAAGGCTTTGAGGGCAACCTTTTTCTCTGCTCCCTACAACATACTTTCCTCTATTTTGACATTCTAATGTAATAATATGACTTGTATCTAGCATTTCCTTCCAGTGTTTCAGGTATACAATAATGTTTACATATAAAACTCACATTTTTATGTCCAAGATGGATTTTTTTAAGTTCCTGGTTATGAGAAAAGTATATATAATGATGTTGAAAACATGGGCTTTTCTTAAATTATTGTCCTTCAGAAGAGGACATTGTAGCATGAACATGTAGAGTTGAAATGCAGTTTTCCTTCCATAATTTCTCAACAGCAACAATGCAGAATGGGTAATTTATGCCAAGGGGTCATACTGTGCAGTTTTCATTTCATAACAACTTCAAATAAAGCACACACCACACAGTCATTTTAAAGGTACAGTATTTTGTATAAATTCTTTGTATAAATTAAATAGGTCCAAGTTGTGAAACTGTCAGTAATCACTGAAAAATAATCTTGGCTATCTATTCTATACAATAATGTAAAAGTTACTTAACAGGTAGATGAATACATGACAAATGAACAGAAAAGGTAAGAGTATACTTGTTTGTGCATTTCAGCCTATCTGTTAAAAACTGAAAAATGCAATGTGATAAGATTGTGACATCCCCACATCATCTGCCTCCATGAAAACACTGCTCGTATCTTTCTATACTGTGAAAATTAGGTCATTTAACACTATGAAATGCACATCAAAATAAACCACTTCAGCATATTGTACTAATAAAACGCAGTGTTACTGAAACTTGTTTGAAAATATTCTCCTAGAAATGAGAAAATTATTACGGTAAAGGTTTAGCTCATTCTATGAAAAGGTAACTCACTGAATCAATATAAACAATGAAGAGTTCTGTGGTACCTTGAGGACTACCCAATATATTGATGCATGAATTCTGTGCAGAACCTAAATGCATACAAAGTGAAACTTGTGTATACTGAAATCAAATGGACTACTACCCACCTTGCCTTCTGTTTATGATCTCCCCCACATCCCCCCACCCACTGTCCGCATGTCTCTCACTTGAAGATAAATCACCAGGCTTCTACTGAAGGCCCTCCATCCAATGTTAGGGCAGTCTCCTCCCCCTACCCTCGCGTCCTAGCTCACCCCATTCAGCAGGCTCTCCTCTGCCTCCGAATAGGCATGTACAAGGGATTAGGGCAGCAGCTCTGCGAAGGAGTGACATCTCAATTGTAGACACCTACATTTGGACCCAGACTGATTTAGGTAGATGAGATTCCTGACTAGTTGGAGGCAGGGATTTTTGTACTGGCCAGTTCCTCTACTGACTGTTTTTTTTCCAATGTGTCCAACAGAGTGCTTTTTGGAAGCCTACAACTAGCTATTACACAAAGACAATACCTGATACTTGTTTTCCACCAGCAGCTGTGGTGAAGGGGCATACTGGCTCTGAACCTGGTACAGTATTCCTCTTCAGGTACAGTGGTTGTAACTGATGATAATCTATCTTCCGTTAATATGTCCGATTGCTCCTTTAAAGTGATCTAGAAGTAGTGGCAGTAGGTTTCACCATCTAATTATGTGTCTTGTCTGTCTTGAATAAACATACAGGCCAATTTTTGAATAAACTATCAATCCGTTTTCACTGAATGGCATTCAGTGCTAGAGTTACAAGAATGAGGGCAGATGCAGGCAGACATAGACAGCCCAGAACTGGAAGTGAATATACATGAACACTGGAAAGAAGCGACTCAAACAGATCTCTGTGTTTGAGAAATTAGACTTCAAAAGAATCTGATGCTTAATGGCTGAACACGAGTCACAAAACAAATTAAGTTGATTTAGAAACTGAGTAAGGTAAGAAGAACTTGGTTCTATGCTCTCAAACATTTTCAGCAGTCAGCTAAGTCATTTCCAACAGTCAGTTTCAATTAAGTAACATCAGTTTCTGCCCTGAGAGAAACACCTCACACACTCTCCACTTTATCCACACTTTGCAGCTAGATAATTTTGGGTTTTGATAGTTCTTTAATATTAAAACCTGCTACTCGCTTTCTCAGTAGTAAAAAAGACAATATACCTGTTTTTACCACTGATAAACTTTTACTCTTCCATACACATGAAGTTTTTTGTTAGAGGTGTATGTGACCAATTTAATACCCTTCAAAGGAAATGCTTTCCTTTGAACTGATAACAAAATAGGATCAGGTTTACCATTCAAATATGTTCTTATAGCAAAAGCATAGAGTGGGTTGTGCATATCCCTTGTCTTCAAGGTGCTACGTACAGTCTGTAGGATAACATTGGAAGTCTGGAAGGGTAGGCTCCATAAATCTTTGCATCTTCCCAAACCATGCTGCTTTTTCCTCCAGAAGACTCCTAGGTAGCATGGTTGAACTACATACAACCACCAAGATGGATTGAACTATTATCCTTAAATCACATTTGTAACCTTATTCAAGAAAAAATCATGCTTCTGCTTCTCACGCTTATGCATGCATGTTATTTATGAAGCTTAACTTTATTTATAAAGCAATGCATAAAGAATTAATTATATATTTCTTTTTTCTTAAAGAACAACATTGTGATGCAGCTCTGTAGGAATGGGCCTTGAATTTGTGCTGGGACTGTGTCCTGGAATATGTGAAGTAACAAATTCTATGCAGAATGTTTTTCTCTTGCCATTGAATAATCACAGTCAGTCCTGCCACACTTAGAATGAAGATGTAAAACTATAAGGTAGATGGCATGGCACCCAAATAAGCCTGAGATTTAATGACTATTTTTAGAAACTAACCATGATTCAAGAATACATGTTTTAGTTTGTGTAGAACCTTGTGGAATGTTCACTACAAAAAGAAGGTCTCAGCCATTCATGACAGAGTTACATTCCATGAAATCTGTGAGTGTAATTGGACATCTATAAAGAAAGCTGAAAGAGATGGCTTTCTTTGTGTTGGATACCATGATCCTTGTGCTGAATAGTAGTAAGCAGTCTGGTACAGGTCTTGGACTCAAAATAAAATTTATGTACCCAAAGGTGTGTACTGGATCTGTGTAAACATACTAGTAATTGTAAGAAAGACTGGTGCACACAATAGGTCTTTCCTGAAAAAGCTTGTAAAAGCTTGATGGTTTTACTTAGATTTCTAACTGATGCCTCCTAATTTCAGTTTCTTGCCATGTAAATAAAATTGTACATAACTGTAAAAATTACAAACCCGTTACTTAATGCTAAGGTTTAGTGCTTCATTTTGTTACCTGAAATGGCAGTGTGAAAAAAATAGTGGCAATGTGACTGGCAAAAAAACCCAAAAAGATGTTAAGGTTCTAATCTCCTTTGTACAATGCAATTATGGTATGAAAAGATCTTTTTCTTGATTAAAGTTTCTTTTAAAAAAAATAAGGGTTCTCTGTTGCTATTCTTCAACCACAACTGTCATCAGCCCAGCAACAAAAGCAATGCATGCTGCCAATAGATTTTAATTTACACTGCTGGAGTTATTGCCCTTTTCAGAGTGTTTACTGAAGATAACCAAAGAGCAGTGTATTGTGCCGATGTTGTTATGGCAGCTACAGCTCTTTCCCTTTGCTGCATTTCTTAGTGTCCTTTTCCAGACCATACTATGTGGTTTTTGTTTCCTTTCAATATTCTATCCTGCAGATATAGATATATAGCGTGCATTGATTTTTGTTTTGTTCTGTTTTTAGGACAATACAGCAACCAGCACATTGCAGAGGATGCAAGTTTTCAAATTATGCAAAAGCAAATTGCACTAAAATACAGTATTCTTATCATCTGCAACAGTCATTGAGCTGCAGTTTGTTATAAAGTGACTGTGTGATTATCATGGGTATTTCTTCCTCCCTCTGCTCCCACAATCCAGGAATTAATATAAGTCTTCATGATGCCAAAGCAACAATATCCACACACAAAGAAAGGTATTAGCATGTTCATGAGAACCCCCAAAATTTCAGAAGTGCACCATATGTCTTTCAGGGAAGCAACCCTGAAAGACTCTACGGCATTCTGAAACCCCTGAACATGTTGCGTCCACTTTAGGCCAACAGACTGACTTTGGAGGGGGGGGTCCGCAGGAAATAGAAAACGAGGAAGATGAGAAGATGGCATTCACTACCATGAAGAGAGCACATCTGACTGAATGGAACAGTGAACAGGATCAGTCCACAATGCAAATGTCCCTGGGGTTGGGGTGGGGGGAAATTAGCTACCGGAGGTACAACTCAGGGTGACACAGGGCCTTCAATAGTGTCCCTATGTAGACATAGTTAATTGTGGAGGACAAGGTGTCCTTTAAAGTCGATGCATTGCCAAAAGAATAGGCTTGCCTTAATGGGCTCTCCAGCAATCATACAGTTATTTTCAATGCTTCAGCCAGCATTTGATTGCGCACTGCAATATTTTTCTCTCTCTCCCATGTCCAGAGTCTAACAAAGCTGCAGTGTGCCGGCATATATTCCGCTCACAGATGATTCGGTGCTTGCCATTTCCATTGTTCCAATTATTTAAAAATATTTTTAAAATACCAAGTTTTGACAGAAAGACATGTGTTATATATTTGTTGTTCCAGACAGTTTTTATTTAGGAGCCAGGCTGGAGTAACTGCAGGTGCTAGGCTTTTCAAAATTAAATTACTCTTCACGTCTTCAGGAATGGAAACATGTGAGAAGACCTGTAGCAAGAGGATGCCTCTCGGGCCAGACGTATGGATGAGACTAGGTACTTAGCGGGAAAGGCTCTGAGCTGTTTGCCAAGTGGTGTCTATCTGCAGGGGACTAAGTAGAGGCAGGGAATGGAGTACTGTAGAGTCTTAACCTTCTATCAAGGAACTTTAAAGTACTTTTTTTTCCCAGTGTCTGGTCTGATGCTATTAATTGCCAATGCAGCATGAGGAACTTGCAGCCTACAAACCTGATAACCCTACAGGACTTTCCCATCAGGCCCTCAAGCTTCTTCCCTTCTAGGAGAGGGCTTGGAACCTGGTGAATTGCTCTTCTTTTGAAAGCTGGTGAGAGGAGATAAGCACTTTTGTGCACAAGGGAAAGAGGACCAGGTGCTCAGAGAATAAGCCAGTCCTATTTATTTGTCTTTCCTGCTTCTGCAGAGATGTGTGGAGCCTTGTCCTGCTTCCATGTAGCTAGACATTCTATTTGTGCTCATGCTGGAACTTGATATTTTTGAATGCTGTTTCTACTCCTGGAATATTTGAATGTTATTTGGAAGTGCTGCCAAGTGATTCAGTCCTGTTTACTTCCATGTGAGCATGCAGAGTCTTCTGCTTATTTATAATTAGTCTTAAAAGTACACTGGTGCCTCGCTTAGCGATCGCTCCGTTTAGTGACAAAATCGCTTAGCAATGCTGTTTTTGCGGTTCCCTATGGGGTATTTTTGCTTTGTAATGATCGGTTCCCTGCAATCATCACAAAGCAACCCTTTTCGCACAGTTAATCGGCAGTTTCAAAATGGCTGCCGGGGAAAAAAACATGGCCGCCCGCTGTTTTCTGGGACGTATTCCTCGCTTTAGAGGCAGCGGAAATGGCGATGCTATGGAGGATCTTCGCTGAATGGTGAGTTTTAAGCCCATAGGAATGCATTAATCACATTTTAATGCGTTTCTATGGGCTTTTTATTTTCGCATTGCGATGTTTTCGTTCAACAGCAATTTCGCTGGAACAAATTAATGTCACAATGCGAGGCACCACTATAATAGACTTAAATAGAGCAAGCCCAGTTTGCCCTTGGCCTTGCTCACAGGTAGGATGTCTCACCAAAGAACTTTGCCAAACTGAAATTTAACCCTTGAAGTGAAAACAACTTCTCACCCTTCTTCCAGATAAAAATCTTCTAAACTCTGCTGTGAGGAAACACTGCCAAATGCACTATGTAGGCTCTTAACTTATAAATTATAGATCTAGACATGGCACTCTATATTGTAGGGCAGGCATGAGCGACTTTAGAGGGTCCAGGGGCAATTTTCTACCACCATTATTTATTTATTTATTCCATTTGTATCCCATCCCCATTACTTTCACAGCATGAGCACTATGAGCATCTGTGAGCTTTATTAATCATTAAAAAATGCAAAGAGAGAGGAAGATCAATTGAAAGGGGCAGCATTAAGGCTTGTGATCAGTGATTTGTTGATGTGATTAAACTGTTTCATGACTGCTTGCAGATACTGTTAGGGTGAAATGAAACAAAAAACCTCAGCAAGGTTAAGCTAAAACTGAGGTTAATTGTGAATGGCCAGAGCAGTGGCCTCTCCCTCTCTCACACTACCACAAGTGGTTTTTGCATTTTACTAACCATCTGATGTGTGGGCACACAAACAAATGTGCAATGATTCCTACAACCCAGGTACAGCTCAACAGACAGATATCAAGGTCATGCCCACTACTTGCACTGTTTCCTGTTTATTCTGTCCAATGCCATAAAGGATTCTGTGTGACATCCAATAAATAGACATTGGCACCCTTCCTCCACCTTTTTTGTGGACAAGAATCAATTTATTACCATTAACATCCTAGTCTTTGGTTAACAAAAAATTATGCCAGAAAAAATGTATTAAATCATTACTGTTCCACAATACCTGAGTCTGCTTTAACTTTGCTTAGGATGCTCAGGTTACTACAGACCCATTAAATCCAGTTATGACCGCTTTAAAAGCAAAGTGTGCTGCTTATATGTTGGCCCATAGCGCTTAAAGCACTCTGGGCAGTTTACAACTTCATTATGCATGCTATACATTCCCCCCCCCCCAGCGAGCTTGGTACTCATTTTACCGACCTCAGAAGGATAGAAGGCTGAGTCAACCTTCAGCCAGCTATCTGGAATTGAACCCCGGGTCGTGAGCACAGTTTTGGCTGCAGTACAGCAGTTTAACCACTGCACCAAGAGGCACTCTAAAATATGTTTGTTTTAAATTGTAGAACTGGGCTTTTATTTCAGGATAGTAGTCTGCCTTTTCTTACAAGTTCTGATAGAAGTAAAATTTGCCAGCTACGAAAGCTAGCATCCTTCCACACTCTGCGGCAGGGCCTGTGATCCCCATGCAGCACTTCAGGCACTCAAATGCAAAGCCTTGGCACCCTGCCGCCTCCAAAATCACTGCCCAGCCCCACCCCCACCCCACACACTGTCAATTAAGCAAATTGTGTTCGAAAAGTTCCCTTGTGATTTGCAGGGATTGTGGAGGGGTGCATTTGTTTGGCAGAACCCACACCTCTGGCTCCTTTATGCTTCCCAAACTTGTAAATTCTACTAGAGCATGCAAGAGGGCCTTTCAGTGTTGTTGTTTTTTAGTAGGAGATGTAGGGGGTAGTACTGCACCTCAAAGTTCAGTATGGTTTATGTAGTCCCTGGATGTCTAGAAAGTGCCTACCACCTCCTCTACAGCACTGGTTCTTAACCTTGGGTTACTCAGGAGTTTTGGACTGCAACTCCCAGAAGCCTTCACCACCAACTGTGCTGGCTGGGGTTTCTGGGAGTTGCAGTTCAAAAACATCCGAGTAACAAAGGTTAAGAACCACTGCTCTACAGCATCCTAGGAAAGACAGCCATTCAATTTTGCTTTAAGGAAAAGAGACCATGCTGTGGAAAGAGAATCGGGAATCTAACCATGTGCAGCCAAAATCTAGAAGGCTCACAGACAGTATGCAATCAATGCCTTCATGAGTTAAGGGATATTATGTAGCAACGCAGCATCGGGCTTCCAATTCACAAATTGCTTGAGCAGGGGGCAGGGGTAATTCCTGAGGTACTCCTCCAAAACCCACACATCATGAGACATATAGACAGGCAGAGATTCAGAGCAGTTTAAAGTCTTTATGAAAGAACAAAAGTTAGCAAAGCCTAAACCCAAGAGATCTGATTTCTAGACCTCGGCTGTAATGGATCTAACAATCTAGCATTAACTATTTGCCAAGATCTTGCTAAAATCTTGGCTGGTTTTACAATGTGAGTTTGAGAATCCAGTGTGAGGCTTGAGATAGGGGCAATCTGGCTCAGAACAGCGCTCTGTCTCTTTCTCCTTCTGTGCATGTATGTATGTGGATAGCCCAATCTCTTCCATTTCTTTCCCAGCTGCATCTACACTAGGAGTGAACCTTAAATGAACAGAGGTTACAACACTGAACAGAGTTAGAGGCAAGTGGGCCTACCTTTGTACAGATTGTCTGCCAATGAATCCAGCTTTTGGCTTAAAGAAGCTATCTTTCTTTGCAGGAGATGCTCAAGTCATCTGAAAAGTTGGCAATAAATGTCATGTGATCTAGTATGGTTCGCATGC